ATTGTTTTTAATCTTTCAGTTTTGCCTCTTTATAAAACACCATTATGTCAACAAAGACTTCACCTTGAATATGTGGTGCAATTTTGGGCACCAGTTTTAAGGAAGGATATTGTAGACCTAGAAAACATGCAGATGTGAGCTACAAATGAGTAAGGAGGCTGAGAAAACAGAGAGAACAGAACTCTTTACAGTAAGAACAATATTTATTTACTAATTTGTAATAATTTGTAATAATTCTCTACCTATAGAGGTTTTCCTATTAGATTTGATAAATGTTGAAAATAAAGCTTAGATGCTGTTTTTGTTGTTGCAAAAACAGAATATTCAAGGATATAATTGATATATATGTGAAGAGGTTGTTGATTTGAAGGTCAATTCTGATTGCTGTTATGGAGTCAAGAAGGATGTTTCCCCTTTTTGTTGTATAATTAGAAAAAGCTACAATTGGGTTTTCGGCATTCCTTTGGATCAACAGCATAAAATAATGTGTTTCAAAGTTGAACTTGCTGGACTTTAGTCCTTTATCAACCTAGACTACTATGTAACTATGTAATATGAAATACTGACAGATCCACAGTGGCATAATAGCTATTTACTGAACCAGGGTCCTCCTCAGTCTTCCTATGCAGAATGCCGTATACTAGTGGGGGAGTGAGAGAATACCACTACTGGATTAATTTCCCTACTGGCTTTACAGTGCTGGAACCTCTTACCTGTTGCTAACAGTTCAGATCTTCTCAAGAATAAAAATAAGGTAAACTCTTTTTTAATGCAAAGGGTATGTCTGATATGGAAAATGGACTGGTGTAACGTATGAGTCTGAAACGTTCAAAGTGGGCTGCAGGAAAAGGGGGAGTCTGAGAAGAGACTAGTTACTAAAAAGTGTGTTTTTGAACATGGGAGGGGGCTGTTAAAAAATGCAGCATTTTAATGTAAAAGGGTGCTGTGGGAAAAAGGTGGGGTTCTAAGATTGGAAGGGTGGCTTACAAAAGGGTGGGGAGCTAGGAAGAGAAGAGATGAGTGGCCTGATTAAAACGATGGAGTCCTGAGCTGGGGATGGAGGGGCTAAGAGTGAAAGTTAGGTGTCTGAGAAGAAAAAAAAATGTTTTAAAAAAATATATGAAGGGAAAAGCCAGGAAAGTGTATTAATATAAAGGAATCAGATACTTATAGAAATTAGAGGCACTACTCTAAGGTTAGGGTAGATAAAGTCTAAAAAAGATTCTATGACAAGAAACAGTCCATAAATGGAGAGAAAAGTTTGAGTGGGATATGAGAAGAATGGGAGGAAAAAGGATGATCTGAGAAGGAAAATAGAAACTGAAAACAGAATTTTGGTATTGTGGACGAGGACTTGAGATTTATAAGTCAACACAAGCTGTTAATCACAGATATGGAACACATAAAAATGTTTTTTTTTTTTTATTATTGATAGTAGATATGCTTTGAGATGTGACTTAAATGTTTAAATGTTAAACTAATCCAAATTTTAGCAGCACCCATTTATCAATTAATGACTTGGAAATGAGCCCTGAGCTGTGAATAAATATCTTTTTATAATTCCTTATTTTTGTTGTGCATAATATAACAAAAGAGCTTGCGCTGCCATGACAGCAGTAGCAAGAACAACAATATCAACAAAGCAAGACATAAGCATGGCATTAAAATAACAGCATAATGTTTTGAGAGAAAAAAAATAAAGATTTAGGATAGACTACTGCATAACTGTAGGAAATAGTTGATGGAAGTTATAGTGCATATTATATTCACAGTGTATTATTACATAAGTGTAAAGTTAAACGGAGTAGCTTCTCATGTTATATATATAACAATTCAGTTGAACTTCTCAAGCACTGAACTCAACATTGGGTAAAAATATCTAGGCTTGTTCAACATTGAGATGCTAGTAATCTTGCACTACATGAGATGGAGTAGATAAGAAAAACGATTATGGCCCACTGCCCGCTAAATCTGTAGCACCAGCTCAATACTATGTATTACATTGTCTCAGTCAGCCACATGGGCTTACTGTTATGCTGTAGGTGCTCTGTCAAACAATTCTACGTTTAGGTAGGAAAACAATAAAGATGGGAAACAGAAACTGGGTTAATATTATAAGTGCCGCTATATGTTAAACCGTGGAGAGCAGGCCAACAGCTATTGGCGGATCCAGGGGGGGGCAACGGGGCAATTGTCCCCCCCCCCCCGAGATTCCCCCCTGCCGGCTAACGCAGGGCTGGCATTGCCCAAGTGCCAGCCCTGCAATGTGCCTGCGGACCGGGGAGGAAGATCAGAGATCTCCCTCCCCGGACCGCAGGCACCGTGCTGACAGCCGGCGGCGGAGGGAGGGAGTAAGAGAGAGGACCCGGAGCTCAGTCTGCAGCTCCTCCGGGTCCTCCTCTCTCGAGATTTGGAGCGTTGCCGCAGTTACCACGGCAACGCTCCAAATCTCGCGAGAGTGAACTCTAGCCCTGGAGCGCGGGCTAGAGTTCACTCTCACCACTGGGACCACCAATGAATCCCCACCGGACCACCAGGGAAATGTCCCCCCTCCTCCTAAATAAAGGTAAGAAGGGAGGAGGGACATAGAATATTTATTTTATTAAATAAATAAAAAAATTATTATTAAAAAGCCTCCTGTCCCCCATTACACACACTGCCCCCATTACACACACACTGCCCCCCCATTACACACACTGCCCCATTACACACACTGCCCCCCCATTACACACAC